CAATCTCAGGCTTCGACGTCTCGGGCTTCGGCACTCTCAGGCTTCGGTCTCTTGGGCTTCGGCAATATCAGACTTCGGCCTCTCGGGCTTCGACACTCTCGGACTTCGGCAATATCGGGCTTCGGCACTCTCGGGCTTCAGCCTCCGAGGCTTCGACACTTTCAGGCTTTGATAGCCTCTCGGGCTTCGACACTCTTAGGCTTCGGGCTCTTGGGCTTTGACACTTTTGGGCTTCGACAATCTCAGGCTTTGACGTCTCGGGCTTCGGCACTCTCAGGCTTCGGTCTCTTGGGCTTCGGCAATATCAGGCTTCGGCCTCTCGGGCTTCGGCACTCTCGGACTTCGGCAATATCAGACTTCGGCCTCTCGGGCTTCGGCACTCTCGGGTTTCAGCCTCCGAGGCTTCGACACTTTCAGGCTTTGACATTCTGAGGTTTCAGCAATCTCAGGCTTCGACATTCTCGGTTTCGGCAGCTTTTTCCTCATTGAGCCTCTTTACATGGTTTTGAGTTTAAAATTTAGTTTTGGTTATAGGTATGGAACAATGATATGATATGGGTTGGCTATGTTGACTAAATGAAGAAGGATTAAAAAGAGGCTTGGTATGCAGACGCTGATAAGGAATTTAGAATTTGTAGAAATAAAGGTCGTGGCTAAAGTCAAAATAGAGACACACACACAGATATATATATATATATATATATATATATATATATATATATACATACATATAGAGAGAGAGAAATTATAAGACATAAGAGTGAGAATAATATTAATAGCAATGTTCTTGTGATGTAATCTTGGGCGTAAGATTGTTTTTCAGTTCTAGTGGAACCAGCATTACTCTGCAATCATAAAGGTAAGGTTGTTTTTTATTAACTACTTAAATCTTAGTATACTGTAATCTTGTTCTGTTTTATGTTACTTAGTGGCTCATTATATTTGATTCTAGAGAGCCCTTCCATATAAAATTTTGATATTTTTTTTCAAACACCATAATGGGCGAGAGCTTCTTGCTCTGAGTTCACCTTTTAATGGTCTATTGAAAACATTTTAATGTGAGGGGCAAGCCTATGATATTAACTTAAAGATTTTCTTAGTAGATGCTTGACATGATACTTTTGAAAAACATAAACATGCTATTTCAAGCGTTAACACAAGCATTCCATTATTTGAATTAAACTCATCACTTGCTGGCACGACATACATCTAGGAATAGAAGTTATGAGATACTTTCAGGAGCACATATTATGGATGCTTTGGACCTACTTTCTACACTCTGCCAGAATAGCATTTGAGGGAATTCTGGAGAGGATAACTAGTGAAGTTTGTATTTACAGCTTCTCTAATTTCATTAAACGCAGTACTTTATAAAAGTCAAGTCAGTATTTATCTTAAAAATTTATTCTCTGAAGTCTGGATAAGATTCAACGGTTGAATTTAAACCAAAATATATTGATTATCCTGAAAACTTTGCCACTGGCAGCTGCGTAAAGCACTACCAGTCTGTAGTATTTGAAAGGACCAATGTTGGATTCTGCATTCATTTCCTTGAAAATAGAACGAAAATTCAAATCTCATTCATGTTCATAGAAGAGAAGGCATAAACCTTCTGCTTAATTATAATGTTACTCTATATTGTTTCTCTTCATTAACTTTGTTCATTGTCTGTATTGAACCTGCCTCTTTTCAGACTTGATTTTTCTATTAAAATATCTATTAGTCAACTTGCAGTATCTATAAGGGAGAGAAGAAGACTTGTGCATGCATTATTTGATGAAATGCTCTATTTCTTGGTTTATATGAACTTCCAATGGTTCATTCATTCTTTTTTTGCCCTGCAGTAGGTCAGATGAGATTCAGTGCGCTTAGACTTTTAGATATAGCCATTTTGGTAAATTCAAGCTACGCAATAATATTGCATTTTGATGTTTATGTCCATTAACTTGGCTGTCTCTAATGAGCCCGTTTCTTTGAGATATGATTTTTGTTATTGATATATCTATTAGTCAACTTGTGCTATCTATAAACAAGTTGGGAAGACTTGTACATAGAATGTTAGATGCCAATGCTCAATTGAAGGATTATATGAGGTTCTGATATTTACTCAGCGCTATTCTTGCCCTGCACTAGGTAAGCTAAGATCTAGGGCCTGGGTAGTGGTCCTATCAAATTTAATGTAATTCTTGAAATTTAAATATTTTAAATGAGAGGGTATGTTTGCGACAACTTTTTCATAACTTCTTTTCTAGATAGTTGCGATCTTTTTGTTTGCCTATTACTTTCTTTCTGCTTATAAAAAAATTGTGATTAGAAGCACTTTTTTACTATCAGATTTGCTAGGGTACGACGGATATAAGAAAGTTGTTGTCCGATTTTATAAAAAAAAGAATAAAATCTATAATAACTACTACTTAAAAAAATGTTTATCCAACAACAATTCTATAGCTACTTTTACATATTGTTGCAGCTTCCTCAAACATCCCTTATTGTCTCCAAGAAAATTGAACGGTTGCTAAGAATCTTATCGGAACTAAAGTCGCTTCGGTGAATGAACTTGTATTTTATATCACATTCATTTTTTCATGTTGCTTAGGTTTCAACAGCAGGATGTTACCTTCCAGTCTATTGTGACAGCTACTTCTGGTCATCTTTGGATTTATCATAATACTTGAGTCATAAGTAAGTTAGTAGCATTTCTAGTATCAAGTTTTGTGGGGTTGTACACAAGCATGCTGATAAGATACTATATTACATAATATATTGTATTAGGTTAATGAGAGTAATTAGTTAATATATTAATATTTTCTATATTTCCATTTTTTCTTTTTAAACTTTTGGTGCAGTTAGGTTGGGGCCTTCGATTGCTTTATGTTCGAGGACTACATTTATTGTGATGCCTGGTTAAATGAGTGTAGCGGATGATCTGACTAAGCTTAAGAGTGTATATACCTAAAAAGCTATGCCGAGCTGCCGAGCTCATCTACCACGTTGTCAAGTTGCCAAGCTCACTAGTCAAATTGCAAAGGTGCCAAGTTGCTAAGCTTGCCTGTTAAGCTGTCAAGCTGTTGAGCTAACGAGCTGGCATGCTCACCTGCCAAGCTACCAAGTTGCCAACCCGCCAAGCTACCAAGTTGTGAAGTTCTGAGCTATCGAGCTGGCATGCTCACTTGCCAAGCTACCATGTTGCCAACCCGCCAAGCTACCAAGTTGTGAAGTTCACTCGTTTAACTGTCGAGCTATCGAGTTCAATTACGTAGAATGATATGATATAAAACTACAACACATGAGCAAAATATGACATAAGACTGCAAGATATAACATAAAAATGCATGATGTGACATAACTTTATGTACAATGATATATATATATTGTTTTGTACCATGACAAAAAGGCATCAAAGATAAATAGAGGTCAAATAATTAAACCATGAGGAGAAAAATGACTCTCTTCCCATGGGTTCCTTCTCCCCCCAACTTCTCAAAACTGGTAGGATTTGGGCATGACCCACGGACATTATAAGGCCCGACCTCCTGAAAGGATTCAACAAAGAGTGATACTGAAAACTGAATAGAACTTTGGTTTTTATCATGGAATGATGGGTGGGGTTAATTGAATTATGAGGCTGTACTCTATAAGGTTTAAACTTGATAGCTTTAATAGGAGGAAAATTATGCAGGCAGCCTTCCCGACTACCAGTCCTCCAGGCATTCTTGATGCACATTTATTATTTATAATTATAATTGTCTTTTTCATGAAACTGGCAATAAGTATAAATGATAAGCTCATAAAGATCTGTTAAGAAGTTAGATTTTAGCTCATTGTATAAAATCTGTAGATTAAACATGAAAATTTACATCAGTATACCCTATGTTCCTCTTGTTTGTTGCAGAACACTTTGCAATTTTCCTCATTCTTTAAGTTACCTAAAATTCTTTCTTTGAGATGTTCAGGGAACCAGCTATGGGTTCTTGGACTATTTCAGTGCTATTGGTGGATGCTCAATTTTTAAGATGTGGTAGTATAACACGATAAAGTTATATATTAAAAATGATTTCTTTCTTGGTTTATGGAATCATTTGTGACCCTTTGGATGAAATAAGACACTGAATTAGAGCATTCTTATGATAGTAATGTCAATTAACTATTTACTCACGCTATCATTATGAATAGAAGTCCATAAATTTGTGTTCTTTCTGTGAAGTTGTGATTTGTTCTGCATCTTCTTTTATTGCTCAGTTCATGTATAGAAGTTAGATTGCCCATTCGTTGATGCTAATATGGTGGAGAATGGAGATGGCTTTCTCCCACTGATTTAAGAGCACTACCTTGATGCCTAAGAAGACAGTTTATTCATTTAGTCAATTGAATGTGACGTTTTCAAATGTAGATTCAGATAACAAAAGCTTTTCGAGTTTTCTTAACTTCAACATAGGAGAAGTGCTCCAGTTTATGACTTTAATTACATTTTGCAATACCTTTTGACAAGATGAGGATTGTAATTAATTTATAAACTATATTTGCTTGCTTGATAAAGAGTTCTTAGTTTTTTTTCTTTCATTTACTTCATATCTTTGCTTAGGAGTTCTGCAAACTTGCATATTCTTATAGAAGTAATTATATCCCTATATGATTTTTCATTGAAGATGGAAATCATCATTTTCTGCTGTTTTAAGTTGAGAATACTGTATACCGTTTTTTTATTATTTTTTTAAATTCTCAATGTAGGTCATTATAGCAATACCTATTAAATTATTTTTCAAATTTATTTATTTGTTTTTTTCTTTTGAATGGGGTTTAAGGCTTCAATTGCTTGTTCGCTGACTAGAATGTATTATATATTCTCATAGCTTGGTAATGCAATAAATATTGATGACCTCGTGGGAAGCCTGTCCTCCTTTCAGTTTATGTATGTGTTTGTGTATATAGAAACAAATCAATCTTACAAGCGTCCTCTTACAAATATAGCTCATTTGGTGCCCTTAAAATGTGGTGTGTAGGTGTAGAGAACAAATTCCTTGAACCTCACAAATCCCCAGAAGCTAAAGAGAATAAATATCTTGGCGGTCTGTTGGCCTCAGGATTCGAAGAACAATCCTGTCTGAGCCGACAGCAGTTCACATCATATCGCAAACCATCATCCCATTCGCCTTCTGCGTACCTATTGCAAAGGTTAAGGAAGTATGAGCAGCTCCACCAAAAATGTGGCCCGAACAGTGATCTTTATGATAGAACTGTAGACCAGCTGAAGCCGGATCATGTCAGCTTTGTGACAGCTGAGTGCAGATACGTTGTGTGGATTTCCTATAGTGGGTTAGGAAACAGGATGCTGAGTCTTACTTCAGCGTTCCTTTATGCTCTTCTTACAAACAGGGTCTTGCTGGTGGACCGAGGAGCTGACATGACTGACCTATTCTGCGAGCCATTCCCGGGCACCTCATGGCTTCTTCCTCTTGATTTCCCTCTCAGCCAATTCAAAAACTTTGACATCAACTCACCCGAGAGTTATGGCAATATGCTGAAGAATAAAGTTATCACTAACACTGCAGGCGGTGGTGCTTCACGAAGTTCACCGCCTTCATTTGTGTATCTTCATCTAGGACATGATTATAGCGATTATGACAAGCTCTTCTTCTGTGAAGATGACCAAAATCTCCTTGAAACAATCCCCTGGTTGATGCTGAGATCAGACAACTACTTTGTGCCTTCTTTATTTCTTATCCCCACCTATCAAGATGAGTTACATCAATTGTTCCCTAAGAAAGACACCGTCTTCCATCATCTTGGCCGGTATCTACTCCACCCAACAAATCCAGTTTGGGGGTTGATTACCAGGTACTACCAATCTTATCTTTCCAAGGCAGATGAAAGGGTGGGAATCCAAATAAGAGTCTTTGAGACCGAATCTGGGCCATTCCAGCATGTCCTAGACCAGGTCATTGGATGCGCTCATAAACAGAAGATTCTGCCTGAAGTCAGTCAGCAAAAAGCCATTATAACCACACCTCATAACCGATCAAAAGCTATTCTACTGACTTCTCTAAGTTCTGGTTACTTGGAGATCCTAAGAAATATGTTCTGGGTGCATCCAGCTACAAGTGGAGAGATAATTAGTTTCCACCAGCCGAGCCACGAGGAACACCAGCAAACTGGGAAGCAAATGCACAACATGAAGGCATGGGCTGAGATGTACCTTCTCAGCCTAACAGATGTGCTGGTAACAAGCGCCTGGTCTACGTTCGGATATGTGGCTCAGGGCCTTGGCGGATTGAAGCCATGGATTCTCGTCAAATCTGAGAACAGGACAGTTCCAGAGCCTCCGTGCTTACCAGCCATGTCTATGGAGCCTTGTTTTCATGCACCGCCATTCTATGATTGTAAGGCGAAGCGTGGAACAGACACGGGAGAATTGGTTCCGCATGTGCGGCATTGTGAGGACATCAGCTGGGGGCTTAAACTCGTGGACAGAGATGAGTGGTAAGTGCTGCGAATTGCTTAATATTTGTACACTATTTGTACACTAGCAGATAGCTGGGAAACGTTATTTTGGAGTTCTAATTGTGTGCTACTAGTAAATATGTACCTTTTTTTTCTGAAATAACGCTTCTTTGTAGTTTTGGAAGAATCGCAGTGCTTAGGAAAATGTATGAAATGATTTTGTAGGATTCCATTAGAAGTCTTACTAGTTCCCCACTTAAATGGCTAATGGAAAATATCCTCTTTTGAGCGATCATGTTAAATTTTTGTTTGTACATGTCAAATGAGAATTTTGGGGCATTTACGTTCATACCACACAATTCTTATATATTTACAAATCCAACACCTGAACTTTCATATCTACATACATAACATTGAAATCTTTGACATCACATTAAAATCATCACTATCCCTTAACTTTTTAAAGGTGAAATATATCTTTTCTTGCATGGGTTTTTTAATACCAAGGAAATGTAAAGATCAAACTTATAGGTGTTGGATATGTAGTTGTATAAAAATTATGTGGCATGAACTTTCAGATATCGTAAAAAATGGTATTCAAACCATCTGCAACTTATTCTTATTCTATTGTGAACTAATTAGTTATTGTGCCAAGCTAATGTAAATAATGCTCTTATTCATGTAACACTATCTAAAAGAATTTTTTATCCAGTAGCCACTTCAGGTTCGTTGATCAAAATAATCCAAACTTTGTTTGCAAATTGAGAAAAGTAATTAACCGTTTAAAATTCTGATTTTACAATAGTCCGTACATCCAAAGTTTGCTTTCGTACTTCTCTCGTATATATAAGCACATTAACGTCTAAGAAAAATTGCAAAGCTCTTGCTTGCGCATACGGTTCCTGAAAATCAAATTGAATTGACGGACTTGTTCTTCAAATAATACACCCATACTGCTAACCTCCATCCCGTAGAAGAAAAGCAAAAGAATTTGGATTAAAAAAGGCCTCCCATCACAAGACCCCACCCTCAATTCTATTGCAGATCATCCTGATCAGATGAATCTCGATGCCAATTTTTTATTTCCAGAATTTGATGGCAGTGAGGCTAAACATCATTTATCCACGCCAAAATAACTGTTTTCCCATCATCGAACAAAGAAAATTCAAATCCGCATCCAAAGATCAGCGGACGCCTCTCCATCAATCTCAATCAGGTCCTGCAATCCCTCCCAGAATTCCCCAATCTCCTCCCCCTCCGACACCACCGTTGGCGAAGCCATCCCCATGTCTTGCCGGCCACTAGAGCTCGACGCGTCCGAGTTCTGAAACGGAAAATTCAGCTTTGCTCTTCGACCCCTGAACTCGATAGCGGCGAGATCATAGGCTCGAGCAGCCTCCTCTGCGGTGTTGAAGGTCCCCAACCACTTCCGAACCGCTCGCCGAGGATCTCGAATCTCCGCAGCCCATTTACCCCACGGACGCCGCCGAACCCCGCGGTAATTGTTACTCTTCTTCCGCCGGCTACGTCCGGCTTTACACTGTATCTCCCTAGCGGCTTCTGCGGTGCTGGGAGGCGGGGATTTAGATGGCATTGAGATAGCGGAGAGGGAAATGGGAGCGGTGTTCTCGGGGTTGCCGGAGATGACGTTGGTGAGGGCTGCTACGATAGCGGCGTTCTCTCGTTGGTCGGAGAGTAGCTGGAGGAGGGAAGGGGGATTGGTTGATTCCATTAGTGGGAAGATGTTGGTGTAGGATTCCATGAGAGGAAGTGTTCGGAGTAGAAAAGCTTAAGAGTGTGGGGAAGTGAAGGAGGAATCGCGGCAATTTATATTTTGAAGCTTTGTGATGGTTGAAACGAGTAGATTTCGTTTTTGCCTTTTGGGTTTCTTTGTTTAACATATTATAATTTTGGGGAGTTTTAAGCACATGTAGAACGTGACGGAAATGCTTGGCACCATGAGTTGGTGATGAGCTGGGCGGGGATTGTTGTTGGGGGAAGGTGAAGGAGGACAGGTGTGGCGCTCGGAAGTGTGGTCGGCTGTGTGGGGCGGCCTTAAAAGGAGAAGATTTTAGGTTATGATATTTTGGTTTAATTATATATATATATATTCAAAATAGTACAATATTTTGCTGATCAAATGAAATTTCTTTCATTTTTATCTTTTTAAAAATCTGATTGATAAGAAGATTTGAGTTGAATATTGCACATTTTGAGAGATTTTTGTGGTTTTGTAGGAAATAAGTGCTTTTTTTGGCTAACATAGGAAGTGGATTGTGTACGGTGCTAAAATAGTTCACGGCTATTTACATTAGATCATTTTAGGCCTAGAGTTTATAGAAGTGTCATATTAGTTCTACTATTCAAATTGGAGCTGAAATAGTCCTTATGAATGAATATTACAACTCAATTTTTAAAATAATCAGAAATTATTTTGGCATTTCTATTAATTTTGGGACTAAAAAGACTCCATGTAAATAATCGGTAATTATTTTGGCACTTTACTCCAAGAGGATTTTAACCATAGCTGAACTTTTAGAGCTATGCGGTGTTGCATAAGTTAAGATGTGACAAATTTCATCAAATCAACTAAATAAATAGAACCTAAGCATGCATTTCCTTGCTACTGCCCTTATGCTCCTCAATGGATTTTGATACAACACCAATAAATTTTCATCATCCATCACGAACCTCGAGACATGACACGAATCTCGAGATAATTTTTTGAACAAGAACATTCAAACTTTAATTAAGAGTCATCCAAAGCTCCGATTTCAGCAAACTTATAATCAAACTGACCGGCTCGATGAAACGGACCCAATGATATAAAAAGTAGTCTAATCCGAGTCAGATCAAACCCAGATCAAATCCGAGTGAGATCAAACCCAGATCAAATCATTAAACCACTCTTGGAGGATTTTTAGAGGCATTTGAAAGGTCAAAAGGATGTTGAATCTAGCGAGTTCATAGTCGAATCGAGCGTTTCGACAAGACGAATCCAACGAGCCCAAGATTGCTCAATTCTGACATCTTTAAGGCACTCAAATGTCCATCAAACACCATCCGATCGAGGGAAGTTCTTCGGACCGTCCGATCAAAATTGTTCATATTCCTGCATTAATTGCACCCAAAACACTATAAATAGAGCTCTACCCTTCAAATGAAGGGGGGAGAGGCTTGAGAAAGAACTAGAGGCTTTGAGAAAGAGCTCAAGTTCAACATCATCCCTGCCATCGCCGACCTTCGTCGACCACCACCGATTGTCGACAATCACCACCGACCTCCGTCGACCACTGCCGACCATCATCGACCACTGGCGC